TAGGAACGAACAAATGAATGATAGTGGATTCTTAAGGTAAGAACTTAAGAAATAAAGAAGATAATGGGGATGGGTAATTGGATTGTTTGTTTGATGATTAAATATAAAAATTATATTATTGTGGGTTGAAAACCCTATATGCTCACCAGGCTCCCAAGCCTGACCCACTCAGTTTTCTTTGCATTACAGGTAGTGGCACAAGAGTATAAGTTGGTGGACTTGACGAGAGATTTTGGATTATAGGCCATTAGATATAAATAAATGTTGTAAGGCCTATATGGTACTGTTTATGCTTTTGGTCTGTATCGGAACATGACATCCCGAGATTTTATTATTTAATGAAAAGTACATTGTCTTTGAGAAATGTTTTGATAAATTTTTATCATATCTTATTTGGGAACAAATTTCGCAACCGTTTTCTTTAAAAGATTACTCTGATTTATAAACAAAGCATAAACAAATCGGTCTTTTCTGGCCGAGAAAATTGGGGATGTCACACAATCGGGTTATTGGTCCATAATGGGCTTTTGTTGCTTTGATTTGGGCTTTAGAATGCTATTTTGGGTTTTGGGCTTTTTATGCATTTTGGGTTGGGCCTTGGTTATGGAACAAGTAAGAAAAGGGTAAAATGGTCTTTTACCCTTCAGGAAGTTAGTTTATGGAGTGGGTCTCGGATTTTGGGTTATCGGGTTAATTATTAATTAAGATTGTATTTATTGTTAGTTGGTGTGAGGTTATCCGGTTCAGCGGTCCGAGCAGTTTTTTGAGTATCAGCGGATTGAGATTAGTTTTTCCTCACTGTACTTTCGGGTCGAAGGCATTAAGCCCGACCCATTGGATTGATATCCTAGTTTACCGTATGTTGTTGTGCTGTAGTGATATATTAGATCTTTATCCTAGTTTATAGGATGTTGTTATGCGGTAGTGATCTGTAGATCTTCCTGTTTGTCTGTTGGCTGATTATATGTTTATCTGTTATGTATATGTCAGTATATTCTGAGTTGTGGTTGAGGCTTTACTGCTTTGTGCGTGAGCCAAAAGACCGGGGGAATTCCAACCCGATGGTTGATTGGGCCCGTGGGTATTCCATCCCGAGGATGACCGGACCCGTTGTATATTGGCATTCCAACCAGATGGTTGATTGGGCCCGAGGGTATTCCATCCCGAGGATGACTGGACTCGTTGTATATTGGCATTCCAACATGGGGTATTCCATCCCGAGGATGATTGGACCCAGAGGTTGACTGGGCCTGGGGTATTCCGACCCGATGGTTGATTAGACCCGACATGCTTGTTTGTATATGTTATTTGTTTATGTGGTGGTACTTTGGGGGAACTCACTAAGCTTTGTGATTACAGTTTCAGTTTATTGTTTCAGGTGCTTCAGATGATTGTGGCAATGCTAAGGCGTGACCATACACATCCTTGGTTTTACTACTGATTGGATCGTGGGAGACTTTGATTTTAAATCATGTTTTGGAAACAATGGTTTTGTAAACACTTTTATTAGTAATGGGTGTTTTGAAAAGTTTAAATTTGTTGAAAATTTTGGGATGTTACAGCTGCTATGGACTCGATCCTATCTTGGTGTGAAATCTCGTGCGGCGGTTTTAATTCGATGAGGGATATGTTACTTTTCATATCAAGATGGTTTAGGTGCAAAAAGAAAAGTAGTTTGCTGAATGTGATCCTATGTGGGGTTTTGTGGTGTATATGGATTGATAGAAATAAAAGGGTTTTCGATAACATTCCCTTTGTTCCGGCGAATACAGTGGAAATGATAAAGTCGATAACTTTCATTTGGTGCAAACATAACGGGGTCGTTCAAAAACATTGACTGGAGAGTTTGGAATTTATGTAATTTTCTTTGTTTGTAATTTCTCTCGTGTTTTCCTTTTCCTGTTTTTTACTATTTCCCTCGCATCATCTTGATGTTGGGTGTCTTAATATATTTGCCGGTTAAAAAAAATCAATATCTTTTGACTTTTATTTATAGATGTAAATGTTTATCATTGAAAATAATGGTAGAAAGTCTATCAAATACAACAATCAAATCTTGTTGTATTTAATTAGTCAATGCACCTAAAATAATTAAAAGATATTTCTTGAAATTGATGTATTCAAAGAAAATTTGATAAAACGGAAAGACTCAATGTTGAAGTTTTTTCTTTATATAAGAAAAACTTGAATCATTTTCTCTAACTTTTATTTTTTGGGTTAAATGGATTTATAATTTTCCCATGGTTGACCTAGGACCACAACCACAACGACATATTTTGCATTTATTTATTTGTAGTAAGCATCACGGGTTCTATGTGAAAAATAGTTACACCATAAAATTACAACGCAACTTATTTCAAAATTTATTTACCAAATTAATACATTTTGAGGGTTAAAAAAAGTAAGATACAAAATGAAAAGGCAACGTGGTTGTTGGAATTTCGAAAGGCTCCAAACAAGCAAACATTATAGAGTGAACAATGAAAAGGCAATGGGGAGTGATAATATATGGTTGGGAGTAGGTTAAGATGGAGGTAGACCCGACACTACAACTGCTACATGCACGAGGTTATCATTGTCTAGTCTCGAGTACATGATTAAATCGTGGAAGCGCAGAGGGACCCGCACGTGCGCTGGGGACAACTGTAAAAGCATAATTACACAACTGTGAAGGAAAGCCCCTATCTATCATCCTTCTTTAAAGTTTATTCCTTTTGAGTAAACTATGATTAATATGGATAAAATGATTTTTTTTAATAATAGTATATTTTTATAATATTTATTGATCAAAAACTTTACAGGAAGATTTTCTTTTTCTGAAACAGTATTGTTGTATTAAAAACTCGCAAAAGCATAATTGAAGGAAAGCCCCCATCTATCATCCTTTAAAGTTTATTCCTTTTGAATAAACTATGATTAATATGGATAAATGTACCTTTTTTTTTTATAATAATAGCATATTTTTATAATATTTATTGATCAAAAACATTACAGGAAGATTTTCCTTTTCTGAAACTGTATAATTGTATTAAAAACTAGTATTGTGTTAGTTAACAGAGCATATATATATATATATATATATATATATATATATATATATATATATATATATATATATATATATATATAGAGGGTTGAAATCCGTTGAGAACTTATAGTTTCTCGAGAACCTGAGAACTAAAGGTGGAGCGTTAGATCAAAATTAATTCATTAAGGGTATTATCGTCATCTTACCGATCTAATTTAATGTTTAATTTCTTTTTCTTATTAGAAATATTAATAAAAAGTTCTAAAAATTAACATAATAAATCAAATTTCGGATTTTAAAAAAAAAAATAGTTTTCGATTTTAAAAAAAAAATGGAGATTTTTTATTTTTTAATTGAATTTTTTTTAAAAAAACTGCAATTTAAAAAAAAAACTGCATTTTTTTCAAAAACAAAACTACAATTTTTTCATAAAAACTGTAATTTTCTTAAAAAAATTGTATTTAAAAAAAAAAACTGTAATTTTTTCAAAAAAGTTGCAAATTTTTTTAAAAAGTAAATTTTTAAAAATCAATAAATTAAAAAAAAAAAGAATAAAAAAAAATTTAAAAAAATCTAATTTTTTTAACAAAAAAAAATCAACGTTTTCGATGCATATATGTATATTTTTCAAGTACATATATATCTTTCTTATACTATAATATTCGTAAGTAAACATATAAAAAAATTCATTTATATTTAATAATGTATAAACACAATAATACGAGTATTTTATTTGATACAAAATAAAATATAAAAAAACCAAAAAATACAACAAAATTTCAAAGCGTTTTTATGTCTTCGTGTTCCATATTTTCTTTAATTTATCATTTTTCATCTCTACAATGTTTTCCACAAATTCTTCCAAATCTACAAGAAAAAAAAATGATTAATGCAAGAAAACTCACAAAAATACATGTGTGCATATAGACATAATTTATATGTGGTTCACTAATGATTTATATGCGAATCACATGCAATTTATATGAAATTTACTTGTGAGTTACATGTGGTTAGCATGCGAATTACATGTGAATCACATGTAATTCATATGTGATTCACTTGTGATTTACTGTGAATTACATGTGAATCACATGTGATTTATATGTAAATTACATATATATCACATGTAACTCATATGTGATTCACTTGTGATTTACATGTGAATTACATGTGATTTACATGTGAATCACATGTAATTCATATGTGAATCACTTGTGATTTACTTGTGAATTACATATAATTCACTTGTAATTTACATGTGAATCACATGTAATTCATATGTGATTCACTTGTGATATATTGCTAAAATGAAACAAATTAAAATAAACTATATGGTTAGAAAAAATAAATAATTAATATGATTTACATGTGATTCACATGTAAATCACAAGCGATTCACATGTGAATCATAAGTGATTCACATGTAAATCACAAGTGATTTATGAAGCTTAATATAAAAGCAATTAAAATAAACTATATGGTTAGAAAAAAAATAATTAATTCACATGATTTACATATGATTCACATGTAAATCACAAATGATTCATATGTGTCACAAGTGATTCACATGTAAATCTCTTTATTCATCATCATTTTTCTATATAAAATTTTTGATATTATGTGAGAATTACCTGAAATCCAAGAAATCTGCAATTGTAGAAAGCTCTCACGACTATAGCTTGATAGGAACCTGAATGGAAAAATCTGAATGATATTTGTGACACATCACACATACATTCAATGAATCTGTTTGTAGTTTCTACTCTTGAAGAAAGGAAAACCCCCCAAATCATGAGATTATAAGTGTATCTTGAAGGAATAGATCTTTCTTGAAATGAGGCCTTGACACCTGTCACAAAGAGTAGGGTTTCAAACAATTCTGCAAAAAAAAAGTTATTTTTAACTTTTTATAGTAATCTTTAGTTGGTTTTAAGGTTTACCTGGTAAAAGAATGGGCTTTGTCTTTCAACAGCTAAAACAAAATCATATTTGGAAAAGCTTTGAGTTCCTCCATTATATAAAGTTTCTCAAAATTCACTTGAGGAAGCACGTGACATGTCATACTCATAGGGTCATTAGGGTATAATTTGTTCCATGTTTCTTCTATTTCCTTTCTTGATGTTCTTTGATTAATAGAAGAGACAACATTAGAGTTGTCAAGAATACTTCCATAGAATTTTTCATAATCTGATTTGTATCTAACCTATAAAAAAAATATATCAAGAACATAAAGTTTTTTACAGAAATTATCATTGGAAAAATGAGTATTTGTTTCATAATCATATACCAGATTAAGTCTGTGACAATGCCAAATCCATTCACAATCAAGAGGAACAACTAAAGGTCCTTCAGTGATTTTAGACTCTGAATGTTTAGCAAGCAATGGAAGCCAACATGCATTGTACCTGAAATTAGTTTTTTTTCATTAAATTATAAATTTTTGTTACTAAAAAAGTAATAATCAGTTGAGTTACCTATAGATTGCCCATTGCAATGCCTGGCCTTGATAAAGCCAACAGTTTCTGTCTACAACTGCAAGAAATTGCAGCTAAAGCTTAGCACAGTCAAAAGATCTTCATTGATAAAGATACTATGTGCTGCATTCCATTTAGACTCCTGTTCTGTGTCCATTTTGATACACACCTAGAAATCAAGATGAATACAAGTAGGAAATCTATTGGTTTTTTTCAATATAAGATGAGTGTTGCTACCAATGTGAAAAACTCTAAAAGAGCCCCACCAAATCCAAAAATAGGTCTATAACTACAATTAAGATAAGAACAGATCAAAATTATCTTACAAACCACTTCTTCTTTACTTTTTACATAAAGCATGACTTAATAGAGAAAGTAAATGTGGATTTCCAAGTTAACTTCTAATAGTTAACAAATATTTCCCTAATTTGGCATTGTAGCATCATCTTTAGTGATAGCTGGCATGGTCAACAAAATCTTTCAAATCATTTGGTTTGGAAATATCCTCAGGTGGCAGGTCACAAGAACCATAGTCAATGGGATGAAATTACCAATACAGAAGCACAATTAACAAAGGTAAATGGTGAAAACATTCTTTGAAGCATTTCAACAAACACGTTGTGTGCTAAAAACAAACAAAAGATATTTTCCAACTCTAAACGGTTGAAAATCCATCAAGGTGAAGGAAACTAATACAATATTCAAGATTAGAGAAAGAAAATAGAAAACAAGCAACGTTAGTTACAAATATGAGAATAAATGAAGAACACTTATCCTTTTCTCCTTCTGTTATCTAATCAGTAGTTGGCGCAATGACAGGGGAAGAAGAGAGATCTCGATTGTAATGGAGTAGTCCGATGATGATAGAGAAACAATGGAGAACAGATGTGCAATAATGGCGGACAAACCGATTCAAAATCAAAGCATCTTCAGTGGAGTTTTTTCTATGAAGAACGTGAGATCAAGGAGTGTGGCGGTCGACAGAGGTAGAGGTGGCCGGTGAAGGGAGGAGGGAGGCGATCGACAACGGATGATGGAGGAGGTTGGAGGCTATTCGACGGAGGTGAGTCGTCGTAGGATGGATCATAGGTTTGAGCGAGAGAGGAAAACGGGTAGGATAGAGAGAGATGAAAATTTATTTTATCAGATATTAGATTTAATAAATCATTTAATTATACTTTTATTCCTATAATACCCCTGACTGAATTAATTAAGATACCCCTCCTTCTTTTTTGTCTACTTATTTACAAAAACGCCACCTTGCATCTCGACCCTTCCTTTTTTTGATCCAACGTTCCACCTTTAGTTCTCGGGTTCTCGGGAAACTTTGAGTTCTCAAATAATCCTTCCTCTCTCTCTCTCTCTCTGTATATATATATATATATATATATATATATATATATATATATATATATATATATATATATATATATATATATGGTGGTTCCGACTTCTGATGCTTTGTTATAAAAATAATGAAAAAGAAATGCAAATATAAAAGTATATTACAAAGAATAAATGGTTACATTTGAGTTGAGCAACTAACCAATTCAATTTATTTTGAAGTTTTCTACTCTTATCATAAATCCAAAAATAAGTTTGAAAGCTATTTTATCAATAATATATTTCTTTTTTAGCCCAACTATCGTAATATTTTAGAAATTTCAAAGATCGACGTTAACTAATCGGTGGATTGGAATTAAATAATTAATTGGCTAGGTCATGATTAATCAGAGACAAATAATTACTAATTTGTTAAATTTTAAAAAATTAAATATGACTAATATCATAACAATGTTCGTAAATATCACTAATATAATAACAAAATAGGTTAATGTAATTAATACAACATTCATCATTTAGTTTCTATTGAGATATAACTTATCTGATGCCCAGACGATCGGATTGAATGACAAATTACAAACAAAAGGAACACAAAGAACAAAGATAAATCTAAAACTCGATTTTTTTATTAATTATCAATCAAAAATTGTCCCTCAAACAATGAAAATGAGATCCTTATAAGGAGGATAAGATAACCATAATTTCTTAACCCTAGGAGATCATAATTGATTAGGAAAAGATCTGCAATCAAGTATCTAAATGAAAACTCAAAATAAAAGTTGTTGCAAATAAAAAAACATAAAAAACACGTTTTGAGACCCTAAATGATCCCGAATGGCCGAAAAACACCACACATCATGACAAAGCCATGTGTTTTCTTAATCATCCATTTTACACGTCGTGTGCGAATATCGTCCAATTTCGAGCTGTTCGATCACTTCGACAGATTTGACGCTGATGTCATTATACTTCCATTCCTACTACTGCTGACATCATTAAGCAATGCATCAACACTTGTACCACCTACTGTGACAACCTGAAAATTTTTGCTTTATAAGTCAAGCCAATCAACCTTAAGTCAGACTCACTCCTACTATCATTTAGCACTGTTTAGAGTCTGTTTGAGTGTTTTAAGCCCAATACATTCAAGGAATGAGTGTTAGGAAGTATCTGCTAGAGCCACAGTGCAAAGGTCAAGCCATAAACTCATTCAAGAGGAGTTTACGGCCAAGGCACCAAGAGTTTACGACCGTAAACTCAAGGTGGCCGTAAAGTCACCCCTATATATGAAACACTTAGCCATTTTTCTCATTCTTTCCTTTCCTTGGCCGAAATCTCTTCAAACTCTCTTAAGTATCATCGAGTTCTTCATCCTAGATTTTTAAAATGTAAGTGATTCCTTCCATCTATGTGTTAATACATCTCTTATTCTTGAATCACCCTTGAATTCATCCATGGATTTCATCTTTTGAGTCTAGATCTTCAAGATCCACAAGAACACCAAGAACACTTAGGTGTTTTGGGCCGAAAACACCCTCATTTGCCTTCTAAATCGTAAGTACCCTCTTCTATACTTACTATCTAGTTAAGACTCTTAATTCTAGCCTTGAAATCAAGCTTTTCCCAAGAACATGAGGTGTTTACGGCCAAGACCATCTCCCTTGGCGGTAAACCCTAGTTTGTAGTGCAATTGGACCTTAAACACTTCCTAAGGCATGGACAAGAACCTAGAACCCTTCCTCAATGCTTGAAAGCCCTTCAAAACACCCATATGCACCAAGTAGCATGAGTTTACGGCCGTAAACTCTTGAGGCCGTGAACTCATTGGCCGTAAACTCATAGGGCCGTGAACACAAGACCGTGAACTCCTCTTTGTGGCCGTACACTCCCCTTTGGTCAATCACATGTGATTCAACACTTCATTCCAAGTGTTTCCTAGTCCCGAAAGATGTTTCCTTTCATATAGTTTCTTATAAACACTGTATTCAAGCCAATGTATGTCATTTAGGACTTGTTGTGTCTCGGGACTTCACTCGTGGAACTTCTCATCCTTACGCGCATATTCGTTTGAATCACTCACATAAGGTGAGTTCATACCCCGTAATCACTCTTTTAAACAGTTTTAAATGCTTTTAAAGGGGGGGGGGGGATACAAGTTGAACACAATGATAATTGTGTAATTATTTGTTATAAACATTTTCAAAAGACTGCTTAGGTCATTTATAAGTGGTCAAAACATTTCAAAAACTCTTTTAAAGTTATGTTACTTTATAGTTTAACAAAACTCCGTTTTTAAAGTACCAACATAACTTAGTAGAAAAATGAGTCTTTTTAGTAACAGTTCAAGTAAAACACTAGTAAACTATAAGGGGTATAGTTTACTAATAATATAATTAATATCCGATAGGTAGTTAGATGTGTGCTTTCCGCCTCATTTCCTGTTCCTTGTTTGGTTGTGGGCTTAGGGCAGATTCACACAATTAACTATCTGTTCGATATTAGATTATATATAACTAGTATAAACTAAGTGATCATAGAAGGAACCACTGTGGTTATCATTTTATAATAATAAATAAGGGTTTTCTTAAAGGATCTTTTCATCAAATATAAAGGACCTATTACAGTTAAATCCGTGAGTACCGAGTGAATACACAAGGGTTATATACAACGATGATCTAACAAACAATGGGATGTGTGTCTTCCGCCTCATTTCCTGTTCCTTGTTTGGTTGTGGGCTTAGGGTAGATACACACAACCGATTGTTTGTTTACTCTGGGTTTTATATAACTTGTATCCATTTAATACTCATAGAAAGGACTGTTGAGTCATTTTTACTTATCTTTCATCAAAGCAGGAAATATTGGATTTTCTGGAGGAACATGCAAACTTTTCTAAACAGAACTTACTACAACTTACTACAAATTTTTACAAACTTTCTTACTACTCACTTACTACATCACTAAAATCTTATGAATTCACCAGCTTAAATGCTGATCTACGCTTTCAAAATAACTTGTATTCTCAGGAGACTAGTAGACAGGTACGCGCTCTGGGATTCAGAAGATGGAGCAGTACAACTTCATGTCTTTTTGTTATTTGCTATGTATTCTATAATATGTGAATCACATACTTTGTAAACACTTTCTTTCTAATGAAATGGTTGTTTATTACTTCGCTTACTATGATGCATGACTTGTGAGACTAAACATGACGTCCTCCGCCCCAGAACGTTTCCGCCGTTCCGGTTTTGGGGTGTGACACCTACATCATCCTCCACCTCTTGAAAAAGGACTAAACCTCGAGTCCGCTTCATCATCAGATTCCCCAACGAAATGTGATAAGTCTGCAACATTGAATGTAGCAGAAACATTGTAATCATTCGGTAATTCGATCTTGTATGCATTATCATTGATTTTCTTCAAAACATGAAAAAGATCATCAGGTCTTGGTTAGAGTTTACTAAAACGCCTGTTCGGAAACCTCTTTTTCCTTAAATGTATCCACACAAGATCACCTTCACGATAAACATTTCGCGTACGATGTTTATTGGCACGATCATCGTACTGTTTATTATGCTTCTCAATCTGCATACAAACCTGTTGGTGAAGCTCTTTAATCTGACTCGTCTGCTCGTCACCTTCAACACTAAATTTGATCAATAATAGCTAGAGGAGCTAAGTTAAGCGGTGTGATTGGATTTCTGCCATACACAATCTCAAATGGACTCTTTCCCGTAGTACGGTTAACTGATCGATTATAAGTAAATTCTGCTTGTAGAATAGTAAGATCCCACTGTTTGGGACTATCACCAAT